CTGGCTCTATGCAAACTCAGGCAGAGAAGCCCCAGGGCCTCCGAGGTCAGGAGGGAGACACGTGCAAACACTCATGCACAAATATTCAACAAATATTTATCGAGTGCCTACTACACGTACTGATGCTGGGGACACAGTGGTGACCAAGATAGATGAGGTCCCGACCCTCAGCAAACCGCAGTGGTAAAACAGAAAATAGATGTGTAAATTAATAAGTAAGACTGTTTCATAGTGTATGTTAAGAAGAAAATAAGACAGGGCGAGATGAGAGATGAGAGTGATTTAGCGAGAGTGGGGGGGGCTGACATAGGATGAGTGGCCTGGGGGGCCTCTCTGAGAAGGTGACGTGGGAGCTGAGGAATCAGCCACAGGAGGATCTGGGGAAGGGGGTGTTTCAGGAAGAGCAAGTAGCAAGTGCAAAGGTCCAGAGTCAGGAACAAGTTTGGCTGGCTTCCAGGAACCTCCAGGGCGCGAATGAAGCAGTGGTTTGAGCCGAGTTGAGAGAATCAGAAAGGGCCAGATGGTTTAGGGCCTGCAAGCCAAGGGGAGATGCTTAGATTTTAATCCAAGTGGGATGGGAGGCCCTTGGAAGACTTTGAGACAGGGAATAACGTGATCTGACACGATTAGTTTTTAAATATCCCACTGGCTGCCACCTGGAGAATGGCCTGTGGGGGGGGCGGGGCGCAGGAGTGGGGGCGGGGCGCAGGAGTGGGGGCGGGGCTGAGAAAGTGGCTGATGATGGCCCGGACCAGGCTGGTGTCAGTGATGGACAGACCGGGGATGTGCTTCGCAGGAGAGTAGAGGCACTGCCCCTGAAGTTGGATTCCTCTCCCTGAGATGAGGTGTTCTCTGTAGGTGGCATCGGTCCCATTTGTGGTGAAAATCAACTTCTTCCAACTTCCTTTCAAGTAGAGTGGAATCAGGTGGGCTTCCTGGAGGAGGTGTCAAGGGCACCTGCTAGTACGTCAACTTTCCATTAAAAGAGAGAGGCTGCTTGATGATCAGAAGGAGCCAGAGGCCTCCACCTAGCTTATGCTCACCCTCACTATGTGCACATCCCTCTACAGTTTACAAATGCCCACAACAAGGGGGAAAATGAGGCTCAGAGAGGCAGAGAGATTACCCAAGGCCACACAGCATCCAGGGCACTGGCAAACCCACAAGCCCAGCATATTGCCATCTTGTCTCCTGATCCTCACCCCAGTGGCTGTGATGTAGGCAGGAGGGCAAGTGCTGTGCTCCTTTCTAGAGAAGGTAAAACTGAGGCCCAGGGAAATTAGGTTGTATGTCCTGGGCAGAGCTGTTTTAAGACTTTTGTGGGCCCTACATCTGTCAAGTATATTAAAATGCAGCCATATCAAACATCGAATGTAAATTATATATACCCAGATACAAGCCAAATTGCAGTCGACTGGCTGATATCATGCCCTGTTTTGCAGACATTTAATTAAACATTTATTAATTTTGATTCTGCAGTTTTTCCCTGTGTTTTAGAGCCAATTTTTTTTCCAGGCTTCAAACGTGTTGCTAGGCCCATGAAAACCTCACAGGCCCTTGGCAACGAGCATCTACCACCGGCTGGAAAGGACAGCCACGATTTTTGGACCTGTTGCCAAAATGGGCAAGGGGCAAAATGAGGCTGAACCAAGGCCCTTTCACCCTCAGACTGCAGCATGGTCTCTCCACCCTCCCTGCTGACCCCATGTTCTTGGGTCTCAGAAGCCTTCTTTCTTCCCCTTCCCCTTCCTTGCTCTGGCCCAACAGCGCCCTCGGCTGGGTAAGCCCTTTGTCTGCTGTTAGCTGGGGTGTGGGGTGTGGGGTGTTGGGAGCTGGCACAGGAGGGGACAGGAGTGGGTGGGTAGTTGGGCAAGCAGCCTGTCAGGTGGCGATGGATGCTGGCCGGGCTGGGGCCTTTCTCATGCTGACCCAGGCCGGGAAACAGATGGTCTTCCAGCCTGAGGGAAACTTCCAGGGTGTTGCCCTCCCCCAGCTCCCCAGGCCCCTTCACACTGGACCAGCTGGTCTCTCCTTCCTGTTCAAAGCCGGAGCCACAGGACTGGGAAAGGGAATGGGAAGGGGGAGATGGAGGCTGGGACAGGTGGTCTGCGTTTTGGGCCCTGAGAAGCTCTGGGGGTCAGCCTGGTCTCTCCCCAAGTCGCCCCCACTTCTGGCATCTCCAGCTCTGCGCTCGACTCCTCCTCTGTGCCCTGCCTTAACTCAGCCCTGTCATTTCAGGCCTGAACCAAACTGGGGACTCACCTGGCCTTCCTCCAAGGCAGCCAGCAGAGTGAGCTTTCTAAGCCACCGAGCTGATCACATCACCCCTGATTCTGGGATAGAATTCAGATTTAGAATAAAATATGAACTGTTCAGTCCAAAATTTGATGCCCTTCACAATTCTAGTCTTCTAATGCTCCTCCCTAGGACAACCCTCCCCACCAGGCCTGGCAAAACACTGGCCGTTCCCCTGAAAAGCCATATTCTCTCACGCCTCTACACCTTTGCCTTAGTTGGGCTTCCACCTAAAATGCCTTTCTGCTTCCCGTGTGCCTTCAAATGCCTACCCATGCTTTAAAACGGAGATCAAATGTTTCTTCCTCCAGGAAGTCTTCCCCAGCTAAAGTTACTGATCCTTCTCTGGGTTCCACAGCATCTTAGAGCATCTATTTCAGCTCTTAGCTTGTCTGTTCTCCCATGGGACTGTGAGGTACTTAAGGTCACAGGGCCTGGAACATAGCAAGTGGTCAAGATATGCTTGCTATGTGAATGAATGATTCTAGCTGCAGACATCCTTATTTGGGGGGTAGGCAGGGGCCTAGAGAATAGAAGTCACAGGGAGACAAATTTCTGCTCATCAGGAGAAACACAGTTCGGCCCTGGAGCTGCTCGGAAGCCAAAGGCTCTGCCTCAGGAGGTAGCGTCTCCCTGTTCTGAGAAGTGTGTGAGCAGAGGGGTAAATGCACGGGGCTGGGAACTGCTGAAGGGATTCCAGCACTGGACAGGAGAGTTAGACTGAAGGGCCTTTGCATCTTGAGTCAGCTTCTGAGGGAATAGCCCTCCTCCCCATCCTGGGTGCCAATCCCGCACCGTTTCACACTGAGGGTGTGTCTACACCACCGATTGGTCCTCAGAAGACCCAGAGATGGGAAGGAGAGGCCTAAATGGGATGTTTCTGGCCATGTTTTGGGGGGAAAGTTTGGGTCCCAGAACATTAGCTCTGAAAGGATCTCCAAGCCCATCCCTCTTGTTGGCAGATAGACAAGCTGAGGCCCAGAGAGGGCCACACCATTGCTAAGACCAGGATACTCATTTGGGAAAACTCTGGGAATTAGCTGAGCACAAATTCCAGGAAGCACTGTGGTTCCTCCCTTGGGCTGGTCACACACAGCTGAATACGGAACATCCTGGAAATGCCAGCACTTCACATCAGGGAATAGACCCCCAGATCCCTGGTTCCCTGATTGTGGATTCAGGCAATAGGGTCATTGAATCTAGTGGGATTTTCTCCCCCAGTTTTGGGGGATATGACTCCTAGAGGAGCCCTCTCTGGTTTTATGAAAAGGGCTTGCCTGTCCTGTGTATCAGAGAATTTGGGGGTTGGGGCTGTTGTACCTGCAACAGCCAGGAGTGGAGCTGCTGGGCAAGGAACCAGGGCAGAGACCTGTGTGGACAGGTCCTTTGTCACCCTAATGGGCACTGCACTTTATAGCTGCAAAGTACCTCATCCATTTAATCCTCACAACCACTTTAGATGGGATCAACTAGGGCTCAGAGAGGGTCTTGTTCAAAATCACACACAAATTAGAAGCAAAGTCAGGAATTGAACTCAGGACTTCCAGATCCCTTCCATACCTCCTATGGGGCTACCAGAGTTCCATTCAGTTAAACAAACTTGGAATCATGCACCCAGTCATGCAGCCAATAGGATTGGCACCTACCGTGTGCTAAGAACTGAGGGTATAGCAGTCAGTTATGACCCAGTCATACTCATGGAGTTCACAGCCTGGGGGAGATGGATGCATAACCAGACAGTTACAACCCACTGTGACGAGTGCTGGGTTAGAGGGAAGCCGGGGAGAGGCCCCTACCTCAGGTGGAGGGTGATCAGTAGAGGCTACCCGGAAGAAGTCATATCTAAAAGCTGAGCCTTGGATGAAAAGCAAGAGTTATCCAGGTTTGGGGCTGGGGTGGGGTTGGCGGACAGGGCAAGGTGTTCCAGGCAGAGGGAACAGAAAGTGCAAAAGCTTAGCAGTGAGGGCGAGCAAATCTGTGACGTGTACAAAGCAGCTGGAGCTGTGAAGTTTGTTGGGAGAAGTGGCACCAGAGGAAGCAGCTAAGTTGCAAATGCCAGGGGATCTCTGAGCAGCTTCCCTAAGGGGAGAACTGGGCACTCAGACGTGGGGTTGGGAAAAAGGCCAGGAAGCTGGCAACAGAACTGGGGGCTGGCACCAGGATTGTCCCTGAAGGAACCTGTGTATGGGCAAGTCTTTATGGCTTACAGTGAGAGGCAGTGTCGCCTATTGGTTAGAGTGTGGGTCTGAGACCAGCCCATCTGGGTTTGAATCCTGGTTCCACTGCTTCCTAGCTGTGTGACCTTGGACAAATGACATACCTCTCTGAGCTTCAGTTTTCTCATCTATAAAATGGGGATAATAATAGGGTTATTGCAAGCTCCAGGTAAGGTGTCCAGAATCCTGCAAAGAAAGCAGGCCCTAACTTGCCGTAGCAATAATGATCCTTATAACGCTGTATTAAAGGCTTGATTTGTGCCAGTGCTTTAAGCTAGTGAGCCCAGTGGGAGCAGCCCAACAACCGCCCCGTGAGGTGATCCTTTCAATGAGGCCGTTTCACAGCTGAGGAAACAAGCGCAGTAAGTGACTTGCCCAGGGCAACACCGCGCCCTGGCCCTCTGCACTTGCTGGGTGGCGAGGGTCTTGTTGGGAGGGGGCGAGGGGGATGAGCGCGCGCAACAGCCTGAGCACCACGTCCTCCCGCAGGTACCTGCGCGCCATGTACCTTGGGCTGCAGAGCCGCTGGCGCGGGGAGCGGCTGCGGCGCCACTTCTACTGGAGGATGCTGTTCGAGAGCGCCGACGTGAGCATGCTGCGCCTGCTGGAGACCTTCCTGCGCAGCGCGCCGCAGCTCGTGCTGCAGCTCAGCCTCCTGGTGCACCGCGGCGGCGCGCCCGACCTGCTGCCCGGTGAGCCCCGCCCCTCCGCCTGCCCGCCCCGGGCGCCCCCGCCCCCAGGGCTCACTCGCCTGCAGTATTCTGACGGCCCCACCTGTCCCCCACCCCACCCCCACCAGCCCCATGCTTAACGCCCCCTGGGGAGGCCCTGTCCACTCCCCCCACCTTGACGCACTCACTGTCGCGGTTTGGGAGGCCCCGCCCCTTCTACTCTCTGCACTCTCCAGGCCTCTGGAGACCCCCAGGTTCCCTCCAATGGCCCCCTTACCCTCAGTGTTAGGAGACACCCCACCCCCTTGCTCTTCTCAGGCTCCCTGCGCACTACCCCCTCCCGCCCTCCTCCCTTCCCCATTGCCAGGGCAGACCAGACCTCACTTCTGCCAAGTCCAAAGAGGCCCTTGACCCCATCACCACACCTCAGACCCTCAGGGAAGTCCCCTGCCCCTGCTTTCCCCAGACTGTCCCAATCCCAGCCTGCATCTCCTGGGGACCCCTCTGCCTCACAGACTCTCTGAATCACCACCAGTTTCCAGAGAGCCCTTCCATCCACCCCTCACTGCTCTTCAGCCCCTTGTGGACTCCTCCCAGGCTTTGTCCTGGTCCCCATGAGCTCACCCCGCCCACCCACCTTGCCGCTTCTCGAACCCTAACAGACCAGGCCAACCCCTTCAGTGTCAGAGAAAAGCCACATTCCCAGTCTCCCTGGGGCTCCCGGTGCCCCTCCCCGCCCGACACTGCCCGACACACCCTCAGTGTTTCAGAAGACTCTATCACCATCTCTCAGGTTCCCTGCGCATCCCTCGCCCAGGGTCCTGGGCCCCAGTAGAAACTTCCCACCGGGATTTTCCTCCCATGCCCTCAGCTGTGCTCAGCTTGGATATTCCTTTCCATGCCCCAGCCTCATCCTGGTGGCCTGTAGCTTCTAACAGTCCCTTCTGGCTCCTCCATTCCCTAATCATGACCCCCCCCTCTTCACCTCCTTTTTCACTCCCAGAGTCCTGGACCCTATTTTCCCAGCCTCCCACCAAGACCCCTGAACCCTAACAGCCCCATACTAGAGACCCCAACCTGACCCTTATGGAGACCAAAATCACCCACTTCCCCTCTCCCTTTATGCTCCCACCACTATAGAAGTACCCAACCCTGTCCACTCTCACCCCTGCCTCAGTGTTCTTGAAGACCACCCACCCAGACCCTCTCCACACCCCTCTTGATTTGTAGACCCTTCCCTCACACCTCCTCAGAACCCAGCTCCTGACCCAGACCCCTCCCCCTTTCCTCAGACCGCAACCCAGACCCATCCCTAACCCAGCCCACCCTGCCCCCACCCTGTCTCCGCAGCCCTCTCCACCTCCGCCTCACTCGTGTCCCTGGCCTGGACCCTGGCCTCCTACCAGAAGGTGCTGCGGGACTCACGGGACGACAAGCGGCCGCTGTCCTACAAGGGCGCCGTGGCCCAGGTGCTGTGGCACCTGTTTGCCATCGCGGCCCGCAGTCTGGCCTTCGCGCTCTTCGCCAGCGTTTACAAGCTCTACTTTGGCATTTTCATTGTGGCCCACTGGTGCGTCATGACCTTCTGGGTCATCCAGGGCGAGACGGACTTCTGCATGTCCAAGTGGGAAGAGATCATCTACAACATGGTGGTGGGCATCATCTACATCTTCTGCTGGTTCAACGTCAAGGGGGGCCGCAGCCGCCGCCGCATGACCCTCTACTACTGCATCGTCCTGCTAGAGAACGCCGTGCTCACCGGCTTCTGGTACTCCAGCCGCAACTTCTCCACTGACTTCCACTCACTCATTCTGGTCTGCGTCGTGGCCTCCAGCTTCGCACTGGGCATATTCTTCATGTGTGTCTACTACTGCCTCCTGCACCCTAACGGGCCCCTGCTGGGTCCCCAGATGCCTGGCTGCATCTGCCCTGAGGCCCCGGGGCCCTGTGGCCCACCAGCTGATGCTGTCACAAGTCCCCCGAGGTCCCTGCCCAGGACTACAGGCGCTGAGCGGGATGGGGCCTCCGTGGGAGGTGAGCGTGCGGGGACCCCCACACCACCTGTCTTCCAGGTGCGACCTGGCTTGCCTCCCACGCCTGTGCCCCGCACCTTGCGGACAGAGGGGCCTGTCATTCGGATTGACCTGCCTCGTAAGAAGTACCCTGCCTGGGACGCTCATTTTATCGACCGCCGGCTCCGGAAGACCATTCTGGCGCTGGAATACTCCTCGCCTACGACACCCCGCTTGCAGTACCGGAGCATCGGGATCCCCCAGGAGCTGCTGGAGTATGAGACCTCGGTGTAGGTCACAGTCTCCCTGCAAAAAGGGATGAACTTTGGCCGATCCCACATCGAGCACAGTGTTGAGCCCAAAATTTTAGGGCCACCAGGCTGAGGGGGAGTGGATCTGTTGGTCCAAGGGTAGAGTGGTGCCCACCATTGGGTTATTTCATGGGAGGGGACAGCCTTGTGGAGGCCCCAGGCCTTGGCCCTGTTTTCAGCCCTGTGGCCCACTTCCTAAACTCCCCTGAACCGGGGCCCAGGGAACCAACTGGTGCTACGCTCCTCGTGAGCTGCCCCACTTTCATGGAGGCCTCCATATCACGGCTGGTGCTGAGGACCCCACACCCTCTCCCCTGCCTGGAGTTGCCCACCTGTCAACTCTGGTGGGCCCGCCAGAGAAGGGGGTCCATGACCTAGGCCCTGTGCTCCTCAGGGGGCGTGGGGGTGGGCTGCCTCTGGGAAGGATGGAGGAGGCCACGGAAGATGTGGGGTGAGGCGGGAGCATCTGGTGAACGAGGTTGGTACAGCTCCTGTGGGTTGAGGTCTGGAGCCTGGGCAAGAGGGGAGTTAAAGGAGGGAGTTGGGGTGGGGTGGGAAGTTGGGGTGGGGGGCTGACAGTGCTGGAGGTGGACAGGAGGGAGGACCCTGAGACATTGGAGAGGTACAGGCTGGCAGAAGCATGAAGGGGTGGCAGATTTGGGGGAGGGCAACCTCGATCCGGAGCATAGAGAATGTTCCTCAGGAGACAACCTTTGTTGTGGGCTCTTTTATGGATGAGGCTCCAGACACCTCAGGTGAAATGTTTCAAGGAGCCATTCTTTGTTCTAGGTGAGCATCTAGAACATTTCTTCTAGATGAAGGTCTTGACCGCAATAGATGAACTGCCTAGGAAGATACTCTGTCTGGGTTTGACTGTGGATGAGGTTCTGGCACGTTTAGCAGGGAGACGGTTCTAGAGAGACATTCTTTGTTCTGGATTGAGTTCCAGGACACACGGCTGATAAAACATTCTTGGGAGTCACTCTGACCTGGATTCTGTTATAACGAGGTGCAGACGCTGGCACCCTGCTGCTCTGCTGCGGGGGATTCTAGCCCCTGCCGTGGTGGTGGGGAAGAAGGCATCAGAACCCTGTGTGAGTGGAATATTCTAGGAAAGGGTACTCCACTTCTAGACTTCTAGGGTTTATAAGAGTTCTGTGCCCCTGTCCACTTCAGTCCACAGCCACCTTCCCGAGGAGAAACTGTCCTCAGAACTCCTGAGACATTTCAACTGCCAACTGGTTTCCAGCTGGAGAAAATTAGCTCTGGGGACATGACATGAATCTTGGCTCTTAGCCACCTTGCAGATGCAGCTCCCTGGGGCTGCAGCTGTAAAACTGACTTGTTTGGCCTCAGATCTGACAACCCTCCAGGACCCATGGTTCATTCTCATGGTCCAAACATCCCAGGGCATCCTTGGGACCACTCACCCAGTGCCCTTTCTCTCCACCTGGGACAACAAGTCCTGGATAGCATGAGGGGTATGGGAGCTGAGAAGTAGGCAGTTCTGTGGGGTGAGGGGACAGAGCGCAGCTTGGAACCCCTCCCCACAAATTCCTCCCTCCCGCATGCCTACTAAGGTTCGTTCACTGCAAGAGCTCAGCAGGCGATATTAAGGACAGATGCAGACCTGGGCTGGGGTGAAGTGGACATGAGAATTAGAGGGGCAAACTATGCAAATTAGAGGGGAACTTAGCCCTTTCTGGTTCAGCCTCCCTTGGGTTACAGATAGGAACTGAGGCCCAGAGTGGCAACGAGTCTCACAAGGTCCTAGATTCCTGGCTTTTCCATCAGAATGTGAAAGGTGATAGTGGCTTTGCTAAGGATGCTGGGAGAGGGCCACACTCAGGGTGCAGGGTGTCTCCAAAGGCAGAGAAGGCAGGACTGCACATACACACACACAAAAGCACACATCACCCCCGTGACACAAGTCACCTCCCCCCACCCAGCACCACAGGTGACTGCACAGACACCCACCCAGGCCGAAATGGTGTGTGCATCCCTCCCGTCAACTCACAGAGAGTGTTTTTCCTTCTTTCTTTCTTCTACTTCCCTGATCCCTAAGATGCCTCAGGAACCAGGCCTCAAGGTGGTGGGGGGTAGGAGAAGCCCAAGGCTGACCCAGATTCCCTCTGGTGCGTTCCCCCATCCTCTTTATCCTCTGTCCATCTGTTTTCAGAGACCAAATTCCATGGCCCTTTGTGAGATGGGAGCATTGAGGATGTGGACCCAGATCCAACCGACCGTTTCTCCTGGGTTGATTGCCAGCAGTTTTCACTCTGGACTGTTTCACTTAAACTCTCCCCTGCCTACAACAGAGGTGTTATCAATCCGTCTTACAGAGGAGGAAACAGGCTCAGAGAGGGGACATGAGGGTCAGCCTTGGCGAGTTATTTTACTCCCAGTGCCCTAGAATGGCTGCTCCATTCCCCAGCATCCTTGAAAGAAAAGTTAAAAATCTCCTCCCTGGGAGTTGGGAGTCCTGACACTTCCAGGAGCTGCCCAGAGAACCAGAGAGTAGGGACGAGCAGGCAGTGCTGAGGCGTGGCTTGAGGCTCATTTTTGGACTTTACTCCACCTCCACCCCACATCTTCTCAATCCCACAAAACCTTCCCTAAAGGCCTCTGCCTGCAAGGACACCTGAACACCAGAAACGGTCATAGTCAAAGGGCCCGAGGAGAGGGCTACAGGCACCTTCTGCGTCTCACCCTCTGGAAAGAGCTCAGCCCCTTAAGGACTGCCCCCTCCCTCCACACCTAGGAGCTCAGGACCCCATCCCTCCCAGGCCTGAGGTCCCTCTCTCTGCTGGCCTGTCCCTTACTTCATCTTGTCCCTGCTGGTCCCCTTGTTTCACTGGGATGGAGGTGTCAGAGTAGGGAAGGGGCACCATCTCATTCAAGCGGCTTTGTTTTCCTTTCTGTGACACAATCTACCTCAGCCAGTCTCTCTTCCCTGCCAGAACTGGACACCCTGGGTCCCTGCCTCCTACTGCCCATTCCCTGTCTTCCCCCCCTAGCCTGGCTGCTCAGCCCTTCCCAGAATCCCTACAGCGTCCTTGCAGTGAGAGAAGGTTCACAGCCCAGAGGGGCCCTTAGTGTCTCTTAAGCCACCTACCCTCCACATCCACTATAAAGAAGAAATGGAGGCACAGAGAGGGCCAGGGACTTGCCCAAGATCACACAGGAAGTCGTGGCAGAGTTACGCTTTTCCTGGGGATGAGAGGTAGTTGGGTCCATCTTCATTTTGCCAGGGAGAGAAGAGAACAGGATGCTCTAGGTACCAAATATGTCAGGCCCTGCCATGCTGTCAGTATCTCAACCCCTAGGAGACCATGTCCCCATTCCCAGGGCAGAAAAAACTGGGCAGTCTCCCAGTTTTTTGGAGCTGATGCCCCGGGCTGCTGACTGCGCTCCCCAAACCTCTCCAGGCAGCACACACCCCTCATCATACCCCCATGCACTGATGTTCCACGTGCCTTGTAACTATCACCTGGTTGGACAGCACAGACCTCTACCCCTCCCCAGCAGGGGGCTCCCCAACAAGGAAGCCTTTCTTGGTCCTCTCCTTTCATCTGCCTTATCCTCGTATCTCCCCCAAATCTGCCTTACCCCAAGCCAGTTCCCTGCTACACCTGTGTCCTGCAGAGGTGTGTCACCCATGAGAGTTGAAGAAAGCAGAGGGCAGGGAGGGCAAGGCCTGGTCCAGGTCTCAGGGTCAGGGCCAACAGGGCTAGGAGTATCCAGGGAGGGAAGGTCTTGCCTGGCAGCCCCAGTGCCCTCCTAAGGGCTAAAGTCCCACAGGTCCCTTGGAGATCACCTGGGCTGGGAATTCACTGAAACCTCAGGCAGTGGGGAGAAGGTATCTGAGTGCATGGGTTGCAAATTCAAATGCCTCCAGTTAATGAAAATAAGAGTGGTAGAGGTGCTAGAAAATAAAGTGGTGGGGACTCTGACAAACTGGAGAGTACGTGCCCTGCCTATAGCCACTAAAGTTCAAATTTTTGAAAAATCCAGTGCGGGCCAAACTAAACACTCATATTTGACCGTGGGCCACCAGTTTGAAACCTCTGGTTCAAAATGTTAATAAGGTTCTGGAAAACCTTGAAGAGTCTGGAAACTCCTTTGAGACTTTTCTAGTCCAACCCTAAACCCCCATGGCCTGGCCACCTGAGAACTGGCCCCACGCCCTCTCGACTGAAAAGACCAGGGAGGTCTGGGCATCCACGAGGTCCCTGGCTTGGCAACCATCATCCGATAAGGGCTGCAGGCCCCTCCAGTGACTGACAGGGTCAGCGTAAGGACTGGGGTCTTCTCCAGTTTGGGGGCCCCCAGGTAGGAGGAACCTGCACTGGGTCGGGGGAGAGTTCAGGTACAGGCAGAGGACTGAAAGCCAGGACCCAACTGCCCCATCCTGTGCTGGGCCATGCCACCCTTTGGCATCCTGAGGATGGCTCCCTCCCAGTTATGGCCCACAGGGGGAGAAGCTATCAATTTCTGTACTTCCGTTCTTTGTAATGTCTCAGTGAAAGAGATGGCGTGAGTGCCAAGCCACGTGGGCAGAAGTGGGGATGGGGTCTGCGGTCCCCCTTCCCAACCAGAGGGTCTTCTGAGACCCTGGGGCTGGGGAAAAAGACTCTCAAGTGCCCTTCTGGTTGGGGAGGGGCTAGGACATTCCCGGGTTCTTGGTTGCTGCAGGTAGAGGCGAGGGGAGGAACAGCAGGAAATTGTGGAAGTGGGAGAGGAAGGCCTGATCTAGGGATGGCCTGGTTCCTGGAAGCAGAAAACTCCCCGGTATGTGTCTGTGTGGGGTGTGGACCTGCTGTGCCAGGCCTCCTCTACCCTTCCCTTCTCCCAGCAAGAAGGGGGCTGCCTTCTCCCTAGCAATCCTGGCCTTTATTCTATGCACAATCATCGTTAAGGGCACCCCCAGGCCAGGCTGAAGGGGGGGTGGGCCCTGGGGCACCTGCAGTAATCCCAGAGTGGAGGGTAGCTTGAGGCAAAGGGGGTGAGAAAGGCACTAGGTAGAAAAATGATATTCTTCCATCTCCCTCTCACCCAAATCCCGGACTCCAAACCAGGCCTGTCTCCATTTGTTTGGCTAAACAAGCCCACTTGGAGGGACCCCATCTGAACAGCCCCCCAAACCCACTGTCTTTTGTGAACCAGTCATAAACTAGCTGGAAGGGACCTGAATGATTCCCAGATTCCCCCTTATTATCTTCACCCCTGAGGATCCTATAGTTTGGGAGATTTTTCTCCCAAACTAGCCTCACTTCTTGAAGGATAATTAATTTTCCCACATTAAATTAACTCAGACTGAGCTTCTGATTGCAGAGAAATGCTTCCAAGGCCTTGAGTTAGCTTCTAGGGCTTAAAGGTGGGGGGAATATCTGTATCCTGTTGGCATTTAATACATAATTCTCAAGAGCACCTGTGGGCCCCATTCTTGCCTCTGGGACCCCAAGTTAGGGATCAGCGGCTTAATCATCCAGCGTCTGTTGAATCATCCTTCCCCTTCTGAAGGGGAAGGCCCAGAAGGGGTGGCCAGCAGAAGGCCACACAGTGAGTTGGGAGGGTGGGATCAGAGCCCAGGTTCTTCGGGGTCCCACCAGAACACCCCCAGCCCTGATGCCCCCTCTTCCACTTTTCCTCCAACTCCAGGAACCACTAGCCATGCCCGAGGGGCTAATTTCCCTCCCTCAGCACAATTCCGGGTGATTCTCCCATCCAGATTCTGTCTTCCCTCCCTAGTCGACCCCCACCCCTGCCCAATTGTGTCTCCAATCCCGATCCCACCTCCTGGTATTTACTGCATCTGTGCCATCCTCAGTCCCGAGACCCCACTCACCCCTCTGCCCTTCCCCCAGGAGGGGGAGGGGACCCCAAGCTGGGACTTCTGTACTGAGACTCTTTTGTACGCCACAAACTTTTTGTATATTTTTAATTTTGCTGCAACATGAGATATTAAAAGTCATTTCAGTACGTGCTGTTTGCGTCTTATTGTTTTGGCTATTCTGCGCCAGAGAAAGAAGATGAGGAAGGAGGGTGCGGGGAGAAAGGATACCCTCTGCCACAACCCCTGCGGCTCCTGTGGCTCCCTTAAGAGACACAGGCATTTGGCTGGAAGAGGACAGCAGCCTACAAAGCTCCCTGTTGATTGGACAGAACCTCAATCACTCAACCAGAATGATGGGTGGGGCCAAAAATTTAGGGATTTCCTCCAAACTCCTCGTTTTACAGGTAAGGGAAAAAAGGGACTGGGGACAGACTTTCTAGAGGTCAAAGAATGAGTCAGTGGCAAAGTCAGGACCTAGACCGAAGTTCCTGATGCCGCTAAAACAAATGTTTATTGAATAACTACTACGTGCCAGGCACTCTTCTAAGACACAGTGAATAAGAAAGATATAAAAGTCATGATCGCTGCCCTCCTGGAGCTTACATTCTAGAGGGCATTGCCCCTAAGAGATCTCCCTACCTCCAGGGTTTCCACCCTCTAAGCCAGTGGTTCTCAAACTTCAAAATGCATCAGAATTACCTGGGGTGGAGGGGGGGTTATTTAAAATGCAGATTTCTGTCTCCATAACTGGAGGGGGGGTAATAGAGCATGCCTGGGAATATGAATTTTAAAGGCTGTCCAGAGGATCTAGTACAAGGGGGTCTAAGAACCTCACTTTGAGGACCATTGCTTTAATGCCTCCTCCCCCAAATGTGACCATGACATTTCCTGGCTTTACAATCTCCCATGGCTTCCCAGGGCCTTCAGAATAAAGATTGTCAACTTTGCTGCTAGTCTCAAGGAACACATATCTTAGTTAATGGTTTTAGTGCTTTTCGAAGTATAGGGAGATGCAAGAATCCAGGTGCATAAAACATTTCTCCTGAAAATATATAACTATATGAAGGTCTGTTCTGCCAGTTTTCCCAGAGCACAGAGTGCCTCATTCCTGATCTCCCTTCAGGGTGTGTTAAAGGTCAGTGACTGCAGTGGCTAATGACTCAATTCTTGTAGAGCCAGATGGCTGGTGACATTCTTTAGTAGGCAAGATGCTGACTTTTCACAACCTGGACCCAAAATACCTCTTAATTCTCACCTCCAACATCACCCCACCTAGGCCTCATAGCTTCTCCAAACCACCCTGTTTCTGTGAGGTTCTTCTGGTTGCCACCCAATGCCCTTTCTCTCCCTTCTTTCATGCAGGTAGAGCCCCATTTCCTAGGAGCCCCCAGCCCAAGTGCTCAGGGAATGTAGCCCCTACCTGGCCTTAGGAGGCAAGACAATAGTTCTCAAAGTGTGGTCCCCAGAGCAGCATCACCAGGAAATTTGTTAGAAATGCTGATTCTCAGAGCCCACCCCAGACCTACTGAATCAGCCATTGTGTGGGTGGGGAGCACCATGTTTTTATAAGCCTTCACGCGGATTCTGAGGCACACCCAAGTTTGAGAACCATTGGTCCAAGATAATTCCCCTGACTGAGGATTGGTGGGGGCAGGGCCATGTGACCCAATTCTGTGAGGCAGAGACTGCTATATGTCCCCCAGTATCCATGCCCCCCCTTTTTCTATAAAGGAATTATTAGCTGGGCACATGGCCACTCAGAATAGAAGACTATTTCCCAGCCTCCTTTGCAATTAGGCGTTTCCATGGAAACAAGTTCCGGCCAATGGGATATGAGCAGTAGAACTTTGTGCTGCTTCCAGGTCATCCCTTTAGAGGGAGGAGCTGTGCTCTCCTCTGGCTCAGTTTACCCTTCCTACTGGCTTGACTGAAGCTGTGTCGAGAGCCAACTTGAAGTTGAAAGCAAAACCCTAGCCTGGTGGAGCAGCGAGACAGGAAGCCCCTAGGTCCTGGACACATGGAGCTGCTGTACCTGCCCTGGACTTGCTTATGTGATGGAAGAGATCAACTTCTATCACGTTTAAGCCACTGTTATTTGGATCTTTGTTAGAGCTGAAATATATCCTGGCTAATACATCTGACCCCTAGATCCCTAAGGGAAGTCTTTTGAAGAATCTCTGGGAAACGTTTTCCTTCTCGATAAAAAGACACACAAGAAGGGGAAACCCTTGGCCTTATCAAGGGTTGATAGCATCAAAACCAGAATAATGATGAGTAGTATCAGGTCTGTATTGGTCCTACAACTGCTACAGCCCTCTTGCCAGCTGTGTTAGTTTGCTGGGGCTCCCATAACAAAATACCACAGACTGGGTGACTTAACAGAAATCTATTTTTTCACAGTTCCGGAGGCTAGAAGTCCAAGACCAAGGTGTCAGCAGGACTGGTTTCTTCTGAGGCTCTCTCCTTGGCTTGCCGATGGCAGCATTCTCACTGTGTCCTTACATGGTCTTTCCTCTGTGTGTGTGCGCCCCTGGTGTCTGTGTGTTCAAATTTCCTCTTCCTATAAGGACACCGATCAAGTTAGATTAGAACCCACACTATGGCCTCATTTTAACTTAATCACCTCTTTAAAGGTCTTCTCTCTCCAACAGCCACATTCTGAGGTACTGGGTGTGCGGGCTTCAACATATAAATTTTGGGGGGTGGGGGGGGACACAATTCAGCCTATAACACCAGCAAAGCAGAAGATGTAAGGAACTTGATGCCATTTTTGAGCTGCTCAATTAACCAGCCCTAAAATCACTTACCTTTGGGCTTTGTCTTGAGAGATAATAAATTTCCCTTATGTCTAAGTCACTTTTGATTGGATAGTCTATTCTTGGTAGCCAAAAGTGTCGCATCTCATGCAATGAGCGTTCACGCTGTTCCCTCTGCCTGGAGCGACCTTCCTGTCCATACGCCCTTCAAAGCCTGGCTTGAATGCCACAGGCTTGGTGAGTGGCTCCTGATTCTACCTTCCCCAAACAAGTTGCTTGCCTTGTATCAGAGTTCTTTGCCTGTGTGTCTTTCTCTCTCTCCAGTTTAGGGGTCAGCATATGCACTGTACACCAGCCGCCACATTCCCCACCCAGCCACCATCCCATGGCAATCCCTTTTTCATTGGGAGTAGATCTGGTTTTTCTAATCAGCACTCCAGGGCAGCCCCTGCCAATCAACTGGAGGTGGCTCAAAAGAGGTGAATCCTATTTGCCACAACTGTGAAGTCTTGAGGGCATGGACTTTGTTTTACTCACCTCTTTTTTGATTCACAAGCAACTTTATTAATAAGTGTTACACTGTATGCTTCTGATCCCATTTAATCCCTGCAGCAGCCTTCTGAGGCAAGCACCATCATTATCCTGCTTTCGACACACGAGACTCTGGGACTCCAAGAGAAACTACTGGTTCAAGGTCATACACATTTGAACCTAGGTCCGCCTGTCTCTGCCCATTTCCACGGACGCTACTAACCACTTGATCTGTTCATGGCCCTGGGGTGTGCACTGCAGGGAACACAGGGATAGTTTGCTCTTCCTAGTGGCATTCAGAACACTTCTTGTCCTGTTTGAGATTCCCAGCAGTTCAGTGATGTTTGGAGTTATTCCAGGAATAATAGACATCCCCATTTTACAGATAGGGAAACTGAGGCTCAGAGAGAAGAAAAGGCTTGCAAAAGTCAGTCATGGGGGACTTCCCTTGGAGGTCCAGCGGTTAAGACTTCACCTTCCAATGCAGTGGGTGCAGGTTCAATCCTTGGTCACAGAGCTAAAATCCCACATGCCTCGTGGCCAAAAAATCAAAAAAACATAAAACAGAAGCGATATTGTAACAAATTCAAAAAGACTTTTAAAATGGTCCACATCAGGAAAATCTTTAAAAAAAAAAAAAGTCAGTCTTGGAGGTGCCAAAGCAAGAGACCACCTTTAATTCCCTGCTGCCACTCTGAGGGTGGGAATTCAGGACCTGCTCAGGGGTTAACTGGGAGTTTGATGTCTGGGGCAGTCAGGGATTGGGTAGCACATCCTGGCCTCTTCCTGTTGGCCCGGAGGGCTGAGGGAGATCTCACTTCCTGCTGTTGGGAGGTGACTGGCAGGATGTAGGGGAGCAGGTGGGGGTGGCTGTATGAGCTAGCACTAAGCAGCCTGGGCCATTTCCCCACCCCCAAAAGAGGGAGGGAGGGGAAGAGGGAAGGCTGGTGTCTGGGAGTCTCTGTCGGCTCTCACACCCAGAGGCAGTGGGGAGCTCTGACCCTCGCTCCCACCAGCACTAACCTGGAACACCCAGGCTTTTAGAAAAAACTCAAAACAATCCTATGCATTGGCCCCTGCACTTCATAATTTCCAACAGCCTTCTTATGCACGGCCTGATGTCTTTCCTGCCATGTCTCTGACTGCAGGACAGGGTTTGGGGGATTATTGTTCCCGTTGGAAAGATGAGGAAACTGAGGCCGAGGGAGCTTACAATAAGTAACCTCCCTGGATCATACAGCAAATCAGTTCCGGGACTTAGGTCTCCAGAACCCAGGGGTCATGGCAAGGTAAGAAGGGGTCAGTCAGAACCTTTCCAGCTGTCCTGGGTGGGCCACACAGAGGGCATAGGCCCTAGAGGAAAGGAACCAGGCTTCAGATCAGAGCCAGACCCAGCAGATATCCCAGGTCCTCCTCTCATTCACTGTGTCCCCTCCTTGGGTCAGCCTCTGCAATTGAGCCTGTTTTAAAAATCTTTATAACAATGGTACCCCAATATTGTGAAGAATAAGTGAGATGAAATATGTAAAGTGCTCAGTCCAGAACCACAAAGGGAACCTTGCCTCTCTAATATTATTCTCTCAAGAGACAGTAAAACAGCCCAGGACACACAGACACACAGGTAAATAGTTAATATTTATTGAGTACCTCACATGTGCCAAGAGCCTTTCTAAGTGCATTTAATTCTTACAAGGTCACAAGGCTGGTATTATGCCCATTTTATAGATGGGGAAATGGAGGCACAAGAGGTTACAGACCCAAGGTCATAACCCTAGTAAGTGACAAAGCCAGGATTCAAACTCAAACAGCCTGTCTCTAAAGCCCATGCATACCACCTCCCTTAATAGTAATGATTAATTTTTAAAATCATTACTTGCTCAGACACAATATTCCATAGTTTATGAAGCATTTTCCTACCCACTTCCATTTATTTCTCACCACACCAGCCCAGAGAGGAAGGCAATGTTTACTCCTAATTTATAAAGGGGAGGGGGAAACTGAGGCTGTGAAAGGGGGAACTAACCTGTCTTACCAAGGTCACACAGCAAGGTCGGTGGCAGAAGAGGGGGTGGTATTTGGGACTTTCTGACTCCAAATTCAGGGGACCATTCCCAGCCTTACTCAACTCCCAATCCCCCTAAATAGCAAGCCTGCTGGCTGGAGGCCTTGGGGGC